TTTTCTAAAGCTCTGTTGGCATAGGATGGCAGGAAGCAAGGTGAGGGTCAGCAATTTTCTTTCTCTTTTGCTTTTTATTCAGTGGTCTGCATATGCTTTCCTTCCTTCCTTTTTAGATTGTTCGTTTCTCTCCCATTGATTCCTGTTCTGTCCTGTTTCAGGGAACGCCCAGGGAACACCTTCACATTTCTGCTTTTCAGCGCTGCGCTCATAAAGCCTTTGGACCTTTGGGGAGCTGGGGACGTAAATCACAGGTTCTTTTCCGACTTTTCAAAAAAGCTAAACAGAAGCCGACAGTCTGAATGGCAGGTTTTCTCAAGGACAGGTTGACGCTTTCCTCATTTTTTCTCTTACTCCCCTCCCGCCAAACTGAGTGGGAGGGAAGGGCACTTGGTATGGCTATTTCACCCTTCTTGCTTGCCCTGGTCCAGGAGGGTTTGCAGGATATGGTCAAAAAGGTCAAGGTGGCGTTTACAACCGTGCGATGGAAGGTCCACCTGTTTCTGGGCATTGCACATAAAAACAGACAGAGCTTCAATCCCACCGTCATGGGTGAGTCAGGTCTGTTCTGTTCCTCCCGCCACTTTGGGCTGCCTGAGAACTGGAGTCAAGGAAGGGCTGAATGCCACCTCTCCAGCTGCAAACTATTTTGGGGTTCTGAATGACACAGCAACATACAGGTAGTCTTCAACTTATGACTGTTTGCTGAATGACTGTCCAAAGTTATGGCACTGAAAAAAATGACTTACAACCGTTGCAGCATCCCCACAATCACACAATCAAAATTCAGGTGCTTGGCAACCAGCATGTATTTAGACAGGTGCAGCATCCCATGGTCATGTGATCACCATTTCTGACCCTCTCAGGGGGCTCCTGATAAGCAAAGTCAATGGGGGAAGCCAGATTCGCTTAATGACTATGGTGATTCGCTTAACAACTGTGGCAAAAAAGGTGGTAAAATCAGGCGTGACTCACTTAACGACTGTATCGCTTAGCAATGGAAGTTCTGGTCCCAATTGTGGTCGTAAGTCGAGGACTACCTGTAGTTCAGCAGTGTATTATCTGTGTAGCTGAGCTCTTGTTGCGTTATGTTATTGTGATTTGAACATGATCTAATCCAAACTACAGTAAGTTTTATGATTCCGGGATCCATGGATTCTGGTTCTGCAAACCCCTCCTCCCTTTGAGAATGCAAGCTGGGGCATTCTGGGAGTTGAAGTCCAGACAACTTAAAGGTGCTAAGGGTGAGAAACACTGCCTTATGCAGTCATCTAGCACTGATTTTTGCAAACTCATTTGGTAGCCCTATTGTGGGTAGGGTGGTCAACAGCTGTACTGCACCCTCCACTCTTCACTGTCTCTTCCTAAGATTCAGAGGGTCCACTTGGGCTAGAAGCAGGGCCACATTGCTTGTTTGGCTTCCAAAACTAGCTTCCCAATGGCTCAGAAGCCTTCTTGGAATCTCCTGGCTCTGGAAAACCCAGTGGTTTTCACCAGGCTGAGAAGCCTTGTACTCGCTCACTGCCCATCTCTTGTGAACGTGTGTGCTTTTTACACTCTAGAGAGACTTTTATAACAGCCATCGAGGGGGCTTCGAGGGGAGAGAAAGGGAGAGGGAGGGAGGGTCCCATCAGAACAGGTCAAGGGCACAGTAACCCACCATCCATTTTTGAGTTCTTCCAAAAACTAGTTTCATGATTGAATGCTGGGCCCTTCCTTTCTTTCCTGCTATGAGCTGACAGACAGACAGATTCAAATAACAACGAAAACAGGAGGAAGAGTAGAACAGCTAAACCCACTCTACCATTCAATCAATCAAGGAATTGCCCAAGCGTAATTGTATATGGTCTTTGGGCAAAATGCAACTCTTAGCTGCGCTCCAGGGCAACTGAGCCGATGCTGAGGCATCAGCAGTGCATGCAGCAATTGACCAGACACTTCTTGGATGCCTCAACAGTGCCATCTGCGGGCATTTCACCGGTCCTGACGCTGTCACTGGGAAATGGAATGTTTGGCTTGATCATTTCATTCATACTTAAGAAAGGCCTGTCCCAACTTCTAATTTATCATAACACTGTGACTCAAGAATCCCTGTCTTCTTCCTTGACTGAGCAACATAGTCTTCTTCTCATCCCAAGCTCAAGAGAGACAAACTGAAGTTTTCAGTGCATTTCCCCCCTTATTTCTGACACCAGCTAGCAACAGCCCCAAGGTGTGCAACATTTGTAATGTTTATCATTCATTACGTTGCAAGCAAAGTCAAGTGACTAGTAGTTAGTGCGATCAGGTAGCTGTGATCTGATCCTGGAGAACATTATTGTAGGTTGTTGTGGTCGGGCCACCATCTGATGACTTTGTGGCTTGCCAGTGTCCCCCTACCCCATGGGGGCAGACTGGTCTACCCAGATAATTAATGGAAGCTGATGGGTTCCAGAGGAAGGTTGGGGTCTTTCCTGAGGATGCAGTGGGCCCTTTGACTGAGCCTTAGTTACAGTATGTGGCAAGGGCTTTGGGTCAGATGGCTCCATGTGGCTTCTCATTGTGTATCATTCATTGGTTCTCTGAGGAGCTCTGGGAGATGGAGCATCAGAAAAGACACCTAATGCATTGTTGGGAAAAACAAAGTAATTCTGAGAATGAGAAACAGCCCATATTAGGGATTCCACTGTGGTGCAAGAGAGGTGAAACATACTTATTTTTCCACTTTGCTGATAGCTGTCCAGCTGCCCTGTTTAAGGTGACTCAGTCCTTGTTGTGAAGGGATGAGATGGAGGATCATGTACAGAGCTGCTGTGAGGAATTTTTTAGCTATCTGGTGGATAAAATCACTTAGATTCACTTGGATGTGGACTCTGACTGGGCAAATTCTGTTGAAGTCACTGAATCAAGGCTTCGTGTGGTTAGCTGGGGTGAGTTTGAACCTGTAACCTCTGAGGAAGTGGACAGAATCCTCGGAATGGCAACACTGACCACCTGTTTATTAGATTCACACTCCTCCTGGATAGTGAAGGTGCTGATATATGGTTGGGTCCATGCAGTAGTGCTGATCTCTTGAAGAATGGGGAAGTTCTGCCTGCCTTGAAAAAGGCAGTGGGATGTCCCTCCCAAAGAAGCTGTCGCTGGCCCCAAAAGTCCTGGACAGTTTTCATCCAGTCTCCAATCTTCTTTTTCTAAGGAAGGTGATCAGGCTGTAGCTTCCTATAGGCCCTAGAAGAAACAGATTATCTAGATCCTTGGTAGTGGAGTTTCAGGCAGGGACATAATATGGAGAAAGCATTGATTACGCTTGTTGATGTTCTCTCTCTGAGCCAGGAGAGGGATAAAGACAACAATCCTGTTTCTTGTTGATCTCTCAAGTGGCTTTGATATCTTTGATCATGGTATTCTTTTGGACCACTATGAGGGGTGGGGGGCACTATTTTGCAGTAGTTCTCCTTCCACTTGTGAGAGGATCCAATCAGTGTTGGCAGGAGGGGAGAGATCTAGCCCAAAGTCCAATGTGTGACAGTCTCACCCCTCCAGTGTAGCAGCGATACAAAACTGCTAGGTGGGGTCATATTTTGGTTTGGGGTCATCAGCATACTCCATCTCTTGACTCCAGGCCCACAGTGTGATGCTCTCAGTCTTGTCCCAACGTCTGGAGGCTGTGAAGGTCTGGATTGGGAGGAACAGACTCAGGCTCGGCTCTACCAAGATCAAGTGGCTGTGGGTATCAGGGCCACCTGATCCTTGGGGATTTCCATCTTTAGTGGCAGATGGGGCAGCCATTTCCCCTTTGGGATTGGTGTGCCCTCTGGGGCTTGTCCTGGGCTCGCAGCTCCTGCTCAAAGAGGAAGGCCACCCTACAGGTCCATATTGAGTGAGATGGCTCTGATGCTGGGAAAGGTGGAAGGAAAGAGAAGAAGAGGACAACCAGCAACAAGGGGGGTGGACTAAGTTGTAGGGGCGATGGGGGCACCCTTGGGAGACCTGAAGGGCCAGTTTAGGTACAGATCGTCATGGAGAACATCTATCTATGTGGTTGCTAGGATTAAAAAATGACTTGATGGAACATCATCAATCAGTCAATGTGAACACCAAGTTCCTTTGAGAAGTCCATAATGTTGGGGAAAGTGGAAGGAAAGAGAAGAAGAGGAAGACCAACAGCAAAGTGGAGGGATTCCGTTACAGTCACGAGTGTGGGCACCATTGGAAGATTTGAAGGACCAGGTTAGGATGGATCGTCTTGCAGAAAATCTATCTACATGGATGCTAGGAGTCGAAAACGAACTGATGGCACATATTCAATCAATCAATCAATCTTCTTCCCAGGGCTAAGAGAGAATGGCCGGTGCAAGGACTGGCACTCACGCCTAGCTCACCATCCTAACCCATGGGCCGAGCAGGCTCTCCGCAGGCCAGGTAACTCGGCTGAAGCCTGGCTGACGGCTCGCCCCGAGAAACCCCGGGCTCTCGCTAGACGGCAGCACGGATCTGGCGAAAACCACCACCACCACCCGCGAAAGCCCACCGAGGCGCCCCTGAGCTTGCCGGGACTTGGAGTCCGTTGCTCTAAGCATCGACGGGCCCCATCGCGGGACTGCAGCTCCCGAAATGCTTTGCGAAGCGAACCGCCAGGTGTCGCGCCCAGCCCTCTGGGAGAGATGGGCGCCTGAAAGGCAATCGGACTACGCTTCCCAGCATGCCTTGGGCGGGCGCCCAAAACGGAAGAGGCGTTGCCGTGGTCAGCGGGGCAGCTCGCCCGCTCTTCACCGCGGCTCGCCTGGCAGCGTCCCGGGGACGGTTCTCCACGCCTCCCTCCTCCCCGTGGCCGCACACCGTACGCGGGGCGGAGAGCCGGCGCCATGGGCGGGGAGGAGGAGATCGTGCGCATCGCCAAGCGGCTCGACAAGATGGTCGCCAAGAAAA